CTTGGGGATCAGTCCCCATGGATTGAGAGAGAATTGTGTGAGTTGGGGGGGTCCCTGCAGGTTTGGGGGGGGCCTGGACACCTGGGACCATTCCAGGTCCCTTCAGCTGTTCCCGTGGCGTTGAGGGGCCCCGTGAGGATTGGGGTGATGGGGGAGGGGAGCCCATGAGGATTCGGGGGGCATTGGGGGGATTCAGGGGGTGCCTGTGAGGATTATGGTCCCCGTGAGCATTCGGGACCCACCCTAACCCCTGTCACAGGTACGTGCTGGGCCACGAGGCCATGAAGCGCATGCAGACCTCCAACGTGCTGGTGTCGGGGCTGCGGGGGCTCGGCGTGGAGGTGGCCAAGAACCTGGTGCTGGGGGGAGTCAAGTCTGTCACCCTGCACGATCCCCACCCTGCGGCCTGGACAGACCTCGCCTCCCAGGTGAGTCCCCTGGGCAGGTAATACACCATGGGCAGGTAACACGTCTTGGGTAGGTAACAGCTGCTGAACAGGTAACAGCTTCTAGAGCAGATAACACCCCCTGGGCAGGTAACATGTCTTGGGTAGGTAACATTTCCTGGACAGGTAGCAGCTTCTGGAGCAGATAACACCTCATGACTAGGTAACACCCCCTGGGCAGGTAACCTTTCTTCTCCATTTCAACCTTTGGCCCAACCTGCCTCTCAGCTGAGTTGCACCTGGGATAATTCATTTGGGGAAGAGAGTAAATGTCATCCATAGTTGTTTTGGGGAGGTATAAGGTTCATTTAAGCCTTAAGTGTTTCCAAGTGTATGAATATCTCTTGTGGGTCTTGGATGTTGTCTGTGGTGCTTTGATGTTTTCCAGGGGTGTTATCTGTTTTCTGGGTGTCTGAACAGCTCCCAAAGGGAATAAATCCCCCACAGTTGCTCCATTTGGGTCGCTAAATTTCTCCTGTATTCGAGGGTGGGGGTCCTTGGGTGTTGGGAAAGGTTGGGGGACTTGTGTGTGGGTGGGGCTCCCCTGACCCCCCTTTTTCCTCTCGAGCTGTACCTGAAGGAGGAGAAAGTGGGAGTGTCTGAGGGTGCTGGGCCCCCCCTGATCCCCCTTTGTCCCCCCAGTTCTACCTGCGAGAGGAGGACGTGGGGCAGAGCCGGGCGGAGGCGACGCTGCCGCGCCTGGCGGAGCTCAACTCCTACGTGGCCGTGACCAGCACGCGGGAGCCGCTGTCCCAGGAGCTGCTGGCGCCCTTCCAGGTACCCCAGGCCAGGTGTGCCCCCCCGGGGGGCAGGTGTGACCCCCCCCCAGACAGGTGTAACCCCCCCAGGGTCGCCTGTACCCATCTGGGGGTCCCTGTGCCCCGAAACCCCCCTGATAACCACGTGCAGGAGATGATCCATGCCCTCTCCAGGTGGGTGCCCCAGGTGATACAGGTGACCCTCGTTCCCCCACAGGTGGTGGTCCTGACCAACTCCCCCCTGGAGGAGCAGCTCTGGGTCGGCGACTTCTGCCACAGCCACGGCATCAAACTGGTGGTGGCCGACACGCGCGGGCTCTTCGGGTGAGGGGGCTGGGGGGTCCTTGGGATCAGAGTCTCTTTGTGTCAAGGGGGACCGGAGGGCTCTCCGGGGGGGTCCTGAACACGGAGATTGGTTTTTGGGGTCCTCCACTGACCCTTCCCTTGCAGGCAGCTGTTCTGTGACTTTGGGGACGACATGGTGGTGACAGACCCCAACGGGGAGCAGCCCCTCAGCGCCATGGTCTCCATGGTGACCAAGGTACGGGGTCCCCTCAGCACCTGCTGTGTGTCCTCCCCCCCTTCCCAAGGGTACTCTGGGGAGTTCCTGGGTGTCAGGGTCCCCTCAGCACCCGCTCTGTCCTCCCAGGGGTGCCCCGGGGAGGTGACGTGTCTGGACGAGGCGCGTCATGGCTTCGAGACGGGTGACTTTGTCACCTTCACTGAGGTGGAGGGGATGGAGGAGCTGAATCGCTGCGGCCCCGTCGAGATCCGCGTCCTCGGTGAGCCCTGGGGCTTTTTGATGACGACCCCAGTTACCTGGGGCTGTTTTAGGGAGCGTCTGACACACCTGGGGCCCTTTTTGGGCGTCCTCTGGATGTCAGGGTGGCTTTTTGGGGTGCCCTGGAGCGGGGGTGCCCTGGTGACACCCCTCCCCCAGGGCCATACACCTTCAGCATCGGGGACACCAGCGGGTTCGGGGACTACGTGCGGGGGGGCATCGTCACCCAGGTCAAGATGCCCAAGCACATCCACTTCGTGAGTGGCACTGGGAACTCTGGGGGACACTGGGAGGGCTCTGGAAGGGAGGGAGGGGCAGTGGGAGAGATGGGGGGGACCAGCAGGAGTTGGGGTGGCTCTGGGAGCACTGGGAGGGGGCAGGGTTGTATTGTGCGGCACTAGGGGAGATTGGGGAGCACTGGGAGGAGTGGGAGGTTATTGGGAAGGTAATGGGACGTAGTGGGGGAGCGATAAAAGAAATTTAGGTGGAAACGCGGTAGGCACTGGTAGGTGGCTGTGGAGAGTTACTGGGGGTTACTGGGTTGTACTGGAGTCACTGACATGCTCAGCTGTTGCTGTCCCAAAAGTGGCTGCCTAAAAGGGGCACTGGGGTGTCGCTGGGTTGCCCTGGGGGTGTTACACTCACCTGTCCTTGTCGCTGTCGCTGTCTCAGAAGCGGTTCCGGGACGCTCTGGCTGAGCCGGAGATGATGGTGACGGATTTTGGGAAGGTCGAGAGACCCTCGATGATGCACTGGGGGTGGCAGGGACTGCACCGCTTCATGCGCCAGCACGGCCGCCCCCCCCGGCCCCGCCACCAGGTAGGGACATGAGGGGACAGCAGGGACGTGGAGGGGACGGTGGGTGGAGGGACTTTGAGGGTGTTGGAGACGTGGAGGCCACCGGGTCCTACCCCAGCATGGCCACCCCGGTGGGCCATGTGCAGCTGCTGGGGACACTGAGGGTGTTGGGTACACGGAGGGCACCGTGGCCCTGCCCGTGTTTGAGGTCATCAGAGGTACTGGCAGCTTGAAGGGAAACGTGGAGTCACCAGGTCCTGCACCAGCGGGGATCACCGCCGTGGTCCAGCCGCGACCTGGGGACACTGGGGCCACTGGGGCCATCAGGGGTGTCAGAGACATGTGGAGGTTTTTGGGGACACTGGGGGGATCATTGAGGCCATGGAAGCCATCAGCCCCTTCACCCCCACCACCGCTGCTGCTTGTGGCCCCTTGGTGGCTTCCCCAGCTCTGTGTGCCCTCCCAATGCCACGTGTGTGTGTCCCCCAACGCCGCGTGTGTGTCCTCCAGGGTGACGCGGCCGAGGTGGTGGCCCTGACCCGGGAAGTGGCCGCGGGGGCGGAGCTGGACGAGGAACTGGTGCGGGAATTGGCCTTCCAGGCCACTGGGGACTTGGCTCCCGTCAACGCCTTCATCGGGGGCCTGGCGGCGCAGGAGGTCATGAAGGTACCGCACCCGGGAGCCCCCAGAGCCCCGTGTTTCCACCTGTCCCTGACACGTCCCTCTGGAGTGTCTGTGTCATCACTGACACGTCCCCCGGGGTCCCTGCACTGTCCCTGCACAGGCTGTGTCGGGGAAGTTCACGCCCATCACTCAGTGGCTTTACTTCGACGCGCTCGAGTGTCTGCCCGAGGAGAACCGCGACTCGCTGCTCACCGAGGAGCAGTGCCGGCCGGTGAGGGGCTGGGGGCACCTGGGCGGGCTGGGGCACCCCTGGGTGGAGGGTGGGGCACCCCTGGGGGTGTCTCTTTGGTGGGATATTGGTTAGAGACCGTTTGCTGGAGAAGACCTACTGGTCATCTTATTGGGGATGCCCTTTTTGGGGACACCCAAGAGCGCGTGCTCGATGGGGTCGAGGCGGCCCCTGAACCCCCGTGGGTGGCTGTGCCTTGAGGACCCCCTCACTGTACCCCCTTGGCTCACCTGTGGGCAGGTGTCACCCTTGGGCCCTGTGGTGGCTCTGTGGCCCCAGGGGTGTCCCCTGGAGGGGGTCCAGCCGGGTGACCCCGCTGTCACATCATCCCCAGCGCAACAGCCGCTACGACGGGCAGATCGCCGTGTTCGGGGCGGAGCTGCAGGCCAAGCTGGGAGCCCAGAAGTACTTTGTGGTCAGTGTCCCCAACTCCTCAGTTGTCCCCAGGTTCCATGGCAAGCTGTTTTTTGTTTCGTTTCGTGTCCTTCAGATGTCACAAAATGTTCTCTCATAGTTGCCAAGGGCCACCGCTCCCATCTGCGTGTCCCCAGCCCTCCTGGGCCATCTTGGGTCGTGTCCCCAGGTGTCCCCATGCGTCCTTGGCGGTGTTTTGATTGTCTTTGGGAATCCTTAACGTGTTACCTGGTGTTTTCATAGGTTTTTCCCAGGTGCTCAGTGTT